GGGGGGGGCAATGGGAAGTCCCTCTACCATAGTCATTGCAGGTGGATTGCTTAGTCCCATCAGGGCCACCTGTCCCCTACAGATGTCCAGACTTTGAGGAAGGTGGACACCTTAAGGTGGGATAAAGATCTAAATCAGATTGTTGGGACCTGTGCAGACGCCACCGGCATTACTCTTGCTGTTGGATGCTGGTTTCCATTGACCCTGTAAGCTGCTGTTCCTCTCATCCCCGGGCCCACAGGGGCTGAGTGGCGGGACTCAGGATTCAGGCTGGTTGGATTCTGCACTCAGAGAAGTCCCAACGTGGTTTTGGTCAGCAGTGGACTGTAACCTTGGAGGTGATGAGAACAGGGAGAGGCCTTTCAGTGGGTCTGAGAGGGCACAGTTCATATCTTAATAGTTTTACACATCCATAAAAAAGTGTGTGCGTGTGTGTGCACTTGCATGTACGTGTGGGTTCGTCAAGGTCAAGGTCAGGAGTAAACCTCCAGCTTTCTCTGAATCTGAAAAGTTGGCAACCTTAAGTTCCATCATTGGGAGAAATGCCCGTGTCACACTTGTGGCATGGTCAGGTCAGGCCGGGTTTGAGGAGCAGGTGGGGAGAAACACAGAAAGGACGCGCTCTGCCTTTCCAAGCGGCCGTGGCAGCCGGCCCAGCAAACTGACCAGTGGAGCAAGAAACCGCCCGTGGATGCCACCCCTCCCCCCAGCTCATCCCAAACCAGATCCACTCGACAGCACAATCCAAACAGAAGAGGGAATCAAAATGTACATCTTTTGTTTGCCGTGGCAGGAGAACTGTTGAGCAGAGGAAAAAAACAAGCTGAGCTTAGCGCTATCAGCTGTTTCCTGGGGCTCACTCCTTCCTTCCTCCGAGGGGGGCCTGGCCGCTTTGTTCTCGTTCCCAGATGCTCCTCTGCGCCTTTAAGCGGTGGCCTCTGCAGACCTCAGAGGAATGCGGCCCAGGACCCCAGGGGACTTGGTTCCGAGGCTCCGCCCCGTGCTCGGGCCCCAGGTCGCAGCCTCCAGAGCGCTGGCCTGCTCCCCAGCCGCCTGCCCGCGGGTCCCCTTCTCACAGCCACTTCCTGGCTCTGGAGCAGGAGCCTCACCAGAGGTGGCTTCTTGCTCTTTCTGACACCCCTGGGAGGACCCCGTTTCAGAAAGCCAGGACAGGGGCTTTCTCTTTTGGGTCCTTGCAATAACGCTTTGTGAGCTGTAAAGCCTGGTGTCAGTCTGCTGTTGGTTCAGATTCCACCTTTACCAATTATTAGCTGGTCACCCTGAGCCAGTTACTCAGCCTCTCTGAGCCTCACAGCACCTACCTCATAGGACTGTGATGAAGATGAAAGTGATAATAAGACGCACGGAGTGCCTTCCAAAAACCTGATACATGACAGGCCCTCAATAGCTTAGCGATGATGGTTATCAAGCCTGGGGTTTAGTTGTCTCAGGCAGGGAAGCTGCACAAGAAGAAAAACCCAGAAGCCTCTAAGACCCCATTGGATTGAAAGACGGGCCTGGCACGTCATCAGAGATCATTACAGTAGTTGTGATTCTTCCAGGGGAGTGTGTTCTTTGGTGGTTTCATGTTCTGTGAATCTATCCAGCAGCGGGCTGAGGCATATTTTCCATGGTGCCTCCAAGATGCTCAAAATAAAACCACAAGTGAAGTTCCATGTGGCTGTGAGGGAGCAAGATAACCGCGTGTGCCTGCTCGGCTCAGCCTAGAGGTGAGGGCGCCTAGAGGTGAGCTGCACCCTCACCCGCTGCCCACCCAGTGAGTGCAACTTTGGGCTCCTGCTGGCTCCCTGTGCCTCTCAGAGAGCAAAGCACAGCTGCAGAGGTCACCTGAGCAGCTCCAGTGCCTGTCAGGTGAGGCAGAAATAATGCAACAGTGGGGATTGTGACAGAGGGACTGACACTTGGCTTCTTGTAGAATAATCAGGACAGTCATGTCTTGATTGCCTACCAAGTGGCTGACTGGCTGACCCTCTGCTAGGCATTGATCTACCTTGTTTCTTAATCTTCTCATCAAGCCTAAGAAGCAGGTGGTATTAACCAGACTCAGAGAAGAGGCATGCTTTGCCTGGGGTCAAGTGCAGGGCTCTGGCCAGCCAAAGCGGCATTTAGAAGAAGGCACTCTGCATATCATGGTGCGTGGAGCATGGGTTGGCCATCAGCCTCCTCTGTTCCCCATCAGCAGGTGCCCCCATGAGAGGTCAGCCTGTGCGTCTGTACACAGCAGCTATGGTAAGTGGCCGACTCAATGGCGCACTTATGCTCCTTCCATCTCGGGATCCTGTGGAGCATATTTCATCAGCTGCACTTAATCTGAATGGATGCTCTGAGCTTCAACGTGTGTCCATATCAAGTCAGATATCAAGTTAGAGGCAGCAGCTTTTTGGTCCCTGGATTGCGTCACGATGCTCGACAGCCCCCTCCTGGTGCACCCTGCAGGCCTCTGGCTCTCTCCTCACCTCCACAGCTCATAGTCAGTGTGCTGGCCTGCCTAGTTTTGGACCCTCTGCTTCACCTCCCTCCTGTTTACAATCTTCCAGATTGTCCTTCCAGGGCTGATTTTGTCACTTCCACTCCTGAAAGCCTTCAGTAGCTCCCCCAAGCCCTTGGCATCGGCTTCAAATGCCCTTGTCTGGCTCCTCCAGCCTCCTAGGCTGGCACCTCTAGTTGTACCCTTTGTCACCCCTCATACCCTGTAGGCAGCTGCAGAGCCACTCTTTTCTGTGACTGAACTCACACTCCGGTTTCATGACTTTACCTTGGCCAGGGTTTTCAACTGCAGCACCATGGACATTGTGGGCCAGATCATTCATTGGGGAGGGGCATTGTGCTGGGCATTGTAAGACACTGGCAGCATTCCTGGCCTCTACCCATTAGTTGCCAGTAGCAACTGTCCAGTCATGACAACCAAAACTGTCTCTAGACATTGCCAAATATCCCCTGCGGGCCCAAATTGCCCTCAGTTGAGGACCACGGCCCTCTGCTGATCCCTTTGCCTGGCCCACTCTCCTTTCTTTTACCTGCCTACCTTCTGTTTGCTTTGTGAGTGCTGACTTGGGTGTCATTTCCACCTGGAAGCCCTTCCTGACCCCATGTTCTCATTTTAGGCTGGGTGCCCTCCTATGCACCCACCTTGGACAGCCCTGACCACACTGCATTGTCACTACCCTTTTACCTGTGGGTCTCTTCCTCATTCTGGTTGGGGCTTCATGAAGTCAGGCAGTTGTTTGCCTGGTTCCCTAATGCACTCAGGGTCCATGTCTGTACCTGCAACAAAGCCTCACCTAATAAATCACCCTGGACACCCCTCTCTCCCTTACCCCATATCCGAGGCATCACTGAGGCCCGTTCATTCTGAAGTATTTTCCCAATTCAACCACCGCACTCTGGTTCCACCGTCCCTCTGTAGGCTGAGCTGCCATCATCTCTCACCTGGATGACAAATGACCACAATCCACCTGAGTCCTCCCTGATCTGTTTTCATTTCTGATGGAGTAATTTTTTCAAAACAGAATTCTGAGCATGTTGCCCCCTTGGTTAAATCCTTCCAAAGACTTCCCAGGGCTCTTAAGCAGAAACCCAGTCCTTTACATGGCCGGTAATACCAAGTCTGGTGTGGCCCCTGCCACCTCTCCAGCTTCATTTGAACCACGTTTCCTCTTCCTTTGTGCCTTTCATTTCCCCAAAGCAGCAGGTACTTTGCAGTGGCTGTTCCCATTGCCTGACATGCCCAGCCCCTCTTGGAGTGGATCCTGGAGGACTCTGCCCAAATCCCCTCTTCAGGTTCTTGGCCTCCACTCCCAGATACTGGGACCAGGGCCAGCCGCTGCAGTGGAACAGGGCCCTGTGCTCAGGGGCAGCCCTGTGCTGGGGTTTGATGCTGTTCGGCTGCAGGAAGTTTTATTGATTGAACAGTTTGAGGATAAATTCACACATGGGGAAGTGGTAGCGGTGTGGTGTGGCCATGGCTGCTTTTGCAGTTGGTCCTATGGCCCCTTGGAGCCATGTCTGGGGTCCACTAAGCGCCGTCGTGACTGCCCAGCACTTGCACCAGCAGCTTGACCAGCTCCACCTTGTGCATGGGCTATAGGACATCTCTGCAGGCCTTGAGCTCGGTCAGCCTGCCTGGGCATTTGCATTGACATTGTACTTTCCTAGGGGCCCCTCACAGAGCTCCTAGGAAGTCTGTGAAAAGCTCATTGTTGTCCTCCCCTGGGGCCAGCCCGCAGGTGTAGAGCAAGGTGAGGTCCACCAGGAGGACCATGCTGCTCCCCTGCATGGCGAACAGTGGAGGTTTTCAAGGCTGTCTTGACAAAGTTTTGAATTTGTATTTTGTAAGTTAAATCCAGTGAGACAATGAAGCATGTGCCCAGGTCTTGGAGCCTTGGCTCTCACCCGAGGAATCCTATCTCCTGTCACCTTCCTGCCTCCCAGTGATAGGTTCTTGGCTATCTGCTCCCCAGTCTCTGCTCAGCAACTGTTGCTACCCTCTGCCCATGGTGGGGCCTGAACTCGGGTGCAGGGAGGGCTGAGGTCAGCGACTGCTCCCTCAGGTCCAGTTGTGGGATGGGGCCCTGGGTGTCTGTGAGGGTCTCCACTTATGCTTCATGTATCTCCAAGCCTGAGAGAGTGTGATATTAAATAGCAATAAAAAACCCACCATGACTGGCTGAAAGATTGAACATGGGAGAGAGGAGAAGGCTTTTCCCTGCTATCTGAACAAGGGGCCCCCACATTTTTATTTCTCCATGAGCCCCCAAAATTGCGTAGCCATTCTGGCTGGGACCATTGACTGCTGATGGCTCATAGCTGCACCCCATCCTGGAAATTGCCCTCTGCAGCCGGGAACTGCCTCACCCAAGTTTCCCCCATTCTGGCAGCTGGCCAAGGTCACTTACTGGCTCCTGGAGAAATTTAAAAAAAAAAGCCTGGTCCCCACCTTGATTTGGGACAACTCTTAGAGCCACCTCAATTCTAGAGCTCACTGAAAGACTGACTGAGGTCTTAGTTCAACCTCACTGTGGGTCAGCTCTCTTTGCCAATCCTGCCTTCCTCATGCATGTATCTCATGGGAGTGCACCCTAATAAATCTTCCACGTATACATCTATCTCAGAGTCCGTTTCCAGGGAGCCCAGCCTAAGACACCACCCCAACTACTTTGCTGAGTGAGTTTCTACCTGCCTTCTGATATCAAATAAGTTGCATTTCCCTGCAGTTAACTCTGATCCTCACATGTTAAGTCAAATCCTCCTTGCAGAGCTCCACATACCACATCTTCACAGCGCTTATCATAGTTGAAATTTTACATTCATTTGAATGATTAAGTTCTATCTCCCCTACAAAACTCTAAGCTCCATGTGGGCAGAAAATCAGGTCCATTTTTAGCTTATCATTCTGTCCTTCATGTTTAACACAGTCCTGGGAAATGCTCAATAAATATATGTTGAATGATTGGTTAAATGCTTGAATGACTGCCTTTTCAATGAACGAATGTTAAAAATAATTCCAAGACTATTGTGAAGATCTTTGAATGCCCTTAATAGTGGTAAATACTTTGAAAATGGACTTGAAGTTTTTGTAGTGGTCCCGTTACTAGGTCCTGGCAAGGTAGCTCAGTTGGTTAGAGCATTGTCCCGATATACCAAGGTTGCTGGTTTGATCCCCTGTCAGGGCACATACAGGAACTAACCAATGAATGCATCAATAAGTGGAGCAACAAATCGATGTTTCTCTCTCTCTCTCCCTCTCTCAGATCAATTTTTTAAAAACTTACTAAGAACTAACTTTAGTTAATGATGGTGGAAACCGAAGTATGACCAAGGATTACTCAGAATTCCTCCCCTGTGTGGCTCTTAAACTGCTACTCAGAAGTAAATTTCAAAAAGAAAAAAATTTTGGAGCAGGGTCTAATGGTTGTGATGTATGGAGGTGTTAACTTCTGATGAAACACATTCAGAGATTTCTTAAAATCACTTATTCAGTGTGTTCCTAGCATTGTGTTCAGTATAATGGAGGCTTCAAAATAAATATAATAATGCCCAACCTCTGTCACCCACTATCCTTCTGAGTGTAAGGAGTTGGTCTGAGGCCTCAAGGCAGAACGAGGTAACCGAACATGTACAAGCGTTTGGGTCATTATTCTAACTTCATTCCCAGTTCTGACAAAATAACAAGTTCTAAGGACTCATATTCAATAAAATCTGAAGGTCACTGTTGTCCACATAGAATGCTGAATATGAAAAGTCCCAGCATGAACCCCACTGCTCAATTTCCCTATTATATTTTAATGGAGTCTCTAAAAAGTGATATGAGTTCGTTTTATGGTGTGCATGTAGATGTCAACTGAGAACAGGCAGGAGCATTTATCATATTTATTATGAGTGCGTTTAGACAGTGTTTGAGACCATGTTTAATGATATTGTGCCTTGTGTGGGAGGCCAGCTCTGAGATGCAGTTGAATTTTTCCGTGTGGGTGTGGATGCTCGTCTTCTGAAGTCTTAATCCGTCAGAGGTTCAACTAGGTTCGTGGTTGGTGTCCATATTAGACCAGATGAGGGAGATAAGCTAATGCTATCACATGCACTTATTCTGTCTGAGTTTTCCTGAGTGGAGAGCCTTTTACAGCATTAAAAATCGTAGGCCACGCCTGCCCTGTGTGGGAACTTAACAAAGTGGAGTCAAAACTGTAAGTGCTCTTGAATCTGACATACCTGGTACCTATCACATGTGACTTTGGGTGGGTCACTTAACAAAATTGCTTAATTATATATAATTCCCTTTTTAATCAAAGAATTCTCTGTAAGCCACTTTGAACAAAATTCATCAAAATACACATCAGCTGCCTTTGTTCTCTTTTATTTATTTCATTTCAAATTTCATCCTTATCCAAGGTAAAACATGACCCCATTTCACACTCAACAGTCAAGGACATATTTGATTTAACATGCTAAGAGTTAGGGGGTTCTTCTTTGTCTTTGTCTTACCCTTTTAAAGTTTGCCTGCAAGAATCCTGGAATTTTAGGGTCCAGCCCCTCATTTTACAGAAAAGGAAACAAGGCTCAGTTGACTCAGGAACGTGGCACCAGGAAGGTGAAACAAACCCAGGTCCTGACTTGAGATTCAGCATGGACTATCTCCAACTCACAGAGAAAGCTCCCCTCAGCCTCCAATGAGAGGAGAGCTAAGTAGCCCCCAAATAACCAGCTAAGCTAATCCTCTTACACCACTCCACTTAAGGCAAGATGACAAGGACTTTAGGAAAAAGGAAATTAGAAGAATTAAGTTCAAGGCTCTGTTTGTCCTGGAAATAGAACAGCCCTCTCTCCTCCTCTCCAACTCTGTGCCCCACCCTAGGAGCAGATGGAGAGCCACTCACCTTCTGGGTGACGGGTTTGCATCCTGGATCTGTACGGCCAGCCCCAGGTCAGACAGCCTGCAGTTGCCAAGGTCATCCAGAAGCACGTTCTCAGGCTTCAGGTCTGGCACATGACGCCGAGAGAGAGCAGGTGGAGCACCCCACAGGTCACCTGGGCCGAGTAGAAGACCAGCCTGCTCATGGCCAGGCCTCGTGTGCCCACGCTGTAGATGTGGAACTTGAGGTCTCCCCCATTCATCAGGCTCATGACCAGGCAGAGATGGGACTTGCTCTCAAAGGCATAGGCCAGAGAGACAATGAAAGGGCTGCTGATCCTCTGCAAGATTCCCTTTTCCGAGAGAGCCGTCCTCTCACCATTTTCATTCTTCAGTCTCTTCTTGTCCAGTTGCTTACAGGCATACATCTTACCAGTGTTTTTACCTGGACAGCACATACCTTAAAGGAGAGAAAGAAAGGAGAGGAAGAGGCAGAGGAGAAAGCGCTGGAAGGTGGAGGGGTGGAACCAGCCAAAGTGAAAAGACAGCAGGCCTGGGGCCACAACGAGGCACGCTTCACCCCACCAGGTGGGCCATGCTGGAAAAAGGGAGAACAGCAAGTGTTGGCGAGAATGGAGGACACTGCAACCTTTGCGCATTGCTGGTGGGGACGTAAAGTGTGAAAGAGTTTGGTGGTTCTCCAAAAAGTGCTCATAGCCTGGCTGGGCGTGGCTCAGCAGTAGAGCGTCGACCTAGGATCCAGATCGCGGTTCGATTCCCGGTCAGGACACATGCCTGGGTTGCGGGCTCCATCTCCAGTCGGGGGCGTGCGGGAGCTCTGAGAAGCTGGAGAGGTTTTCTTCCTGGTGCCCAGCAGCCCCAGGCAGAGCCGGTTACAGAAGAAGATGCCCTGAACTCAGGGTCCTGAGACCTGTTCCCGGAGGCCCTGGGGGACTCAAGTCGTGGCCCTCAGAACAGACTGTGACTCTCCCACAGCCCCACACCCTGAATGGTCTGCAGAAGCCGTCCAGCTATGGCTTTCTTAGTTCTGAGGAGTCTGCGACCCCGAGCACCCATGAAGTGACACAAGCAGGAAAAGCACACCAATTTACACATGTGGTCCAGGCTGTTCCTGGGCACAATCTGAGCGCGAGGGAACCTTGTCCTGAGCCCCAGAGCAGAGAAGTTTCGGGGTGGCCTCTCTACATCTCTGCCCACGACTCTTCAGAGCCAGGAAGCTCCCCTCCACCGAGATCGCTCAGAGCCGCCCCAGACCACGACCTCACAAAGAACAGAAATTGGTTTAGACAGAGGTCAGGCTAAGAACCTCGGTTCCAAAAATAATACTTGTGTCCTACAGGGAAAGAATACTCAGGCTTTTTCTCCACAAACGAAGGCTGAGGCAGTTTGAAAACAAAGCCATTCAGTATTATGCCAGAGTGTTTGAAAGAGGAGAGAGAGAGAGAGACAGACAGAGAGACAGAGGGACAGAGAGACAGAGAGAAAGGAGGAGGGGGGAAGGCTGGCCAGTCTTTTTCCAAACAAACAACCTCGAGCACACGCTTTGTCAAAACACCGTGGTGACCACCTCAGTCTGCGTGGCAGGGCCTGTGGACCGTTCCCAGCGCAGATACACACTTGGCCTCTCGCTACCAAGAATTATGTAACGAACTCGTGGGTGCCCTTTGGCTCTGCACCGCTGCGCTGGAAACCGCCACCCCAACGGTAGACGTGGGCGCCCTGTGCTGGTGACCACTGTTCAGAGCTGTGCCAGATGCTTTGAAACCCACACAAGAAATAAATGCTGGTACTTTTTTTGTTCTTGGCATGTCATCAGGGTCCACATTTCGAATAGTGAAAAATCAGTCTGAGAATCTCTCCAGAGGAGGAAGCCTTTTCCCGGGGTTTTTGTGGATACAGTGGCAGTCCGACAGGGCAGAGCTTTGAGAACTGTCATCACATGGATATTTAACCTTGTCACTGAAAAAAGTACGCTTTTCACTGATGAATATATATGCTACGAACTGCTCAATTCCACTCACACGAATACTTCCTTTTATCCCAGTCCTGTTCAATAGATACATGCAAAACCACATGTGGAATTCAAATTTTCTAGTAGCCACATGAGCTAGAGAAACAGAAACAAGTGAAATGAACTTTAATAATACATTTTATTTAACCCAACATATGCAAAATACTATCATTTCAACATGTAATTGATGTGAAAGTTGCTAATCAGCTATTGCCCAACCTTTTTTGTGTCTGAGTGTTCAAAATCTGCTTGGAGTTTACCCGAACCACACATCTCAATTCGAACCAGCCGCATCCCAGATGCTCAGCAGCCACCCGTGGTGAGTGGCTGCCTTATTAAATAGCACTGAGTTAACCCTTCTTTTCATAGTGTTTCCATTCATAAATAAGAGGTAGTGTTTCTTATTTTTGTTTGTTTTCTACTTAGTAATAGCATAGCCGTTCTGGGGAAAAAAACAAACCAAAAAACAAACCAAAGAACACTCTCAAAGTAATTGAAAATGACCTAAACGAAGAAAACAAAATTTGCATAATATTTGAACACAAAATTTAGAAGTTATAAAATGACCATTTGTTGCCTTCTGGCAATTGTAAACAGAGTGTCATTATTTTTAAGTTTTACCTACCTGGAAAAAAAAAAGAGGTCTATTTAAAATGGAACACTTTTGTGACTGCTTACAATTAGGTTTCAGGTCCCAAGTTAATGAAACAGTCATTGTAGATCCGATGAAAGAACAGTACTGAATTCTTAACTTAGAAGCAGAGCCAAGTGCTAGGCACACTCAAGATACCCTGCACCAATGGGGAAAAGTACCAGAAATCTTGGATTGGAGATGTGGCCCGATGGTCACAAGAACTAACTTCAGCATTGCTCGGGAAAGCTAAATCTTGTCTCTAGTAAGTTGTAGCTGTGCGATCTTCAGCATGTTACTTAACTTCTCTGAGCCTCAGTCTCCTTAACTGAAAACAGAGAAAATAACTGTTGATTCTTGAGTAAGTTCTTGAGAGAAGTCAATGCCAAATAGTACCTGGCACAATGAAGTGATATGAAAGTATTAGCTTTTTAAAAAATATGTTTTTATTGATTTTTTCAGAGGAAGGGAGAGGTGGAGAGAGAGAGAAACATCGATTGGCTGCCTCCTGCACGCTCCCTTCTGGGAATTGAGCCCGAAACCTGGGCATATGCCCTGACCAGGAATGGAACCCACGACCTCTCAGTGCATGGGATGACACTCAACCAACTGAGCCACACCAGCCAGGGATGAAAGTATTATCTTTTAAACAATGACTATCAATCATCAAAACGTGACTCAAAAGTATAGTTTTTTGATGTGAAGATTGGAGGCAGGAGCGACCTAAACAATGTGGAAGAAGTTGGGCTCCTCTGTCCAATGTTCACCCAGCATAGAGCAGCCAACTCAGAATTTCACGAGAGCTTGGAAAGCTGTGGGGCCTGGTGGAGCTGGAAGACAGACAGATTGGATTAATCTGCATGCGCAATTTCTAATAACAAGCGGTTCCAACTAAATGAGTTACTATATTCTGCCACACACACAGACACACACACACACACATTTCACTTTTTCTTTCATTTTGAAAGAAAAAAAATAAACTTTTATGATAGGAGAAAACAACAAAAATATTTTAGTACCTTTTATGACTAATTTTGTAACCTAGAGAAAAAAATGCTCTTTACCTAGATCTCCCATGAGATTTTGCATCACGTGGTTTGAAGTGTTATCTGTGAAGTGTATATCCTTAAAGTTTACAATGCTCTGATGTCACTCAACATTTGAAACAAAAAGAACATAAAAAGCTCAGGTTAATGGCTAGAAATAGGGTATGCTTAATTTCCTTCCCTTTCTAAGATTTTTAATATTGAAAACACATCCTAGAAGGACAACAGTAGAGCAAGGTTTCTAGTAAGAGCACGACCTTCCTTTACAATGCACAATTCTCTGCACACTTCTATAGCACATCTACTTGAGGATCAAGAATTATGAAATAGCCCTGGCTGGCGTGGCTCAGTGGTTAGAGTGCTGGCCCGAGCACTGAAGGGTCGCAGGTTCGATTCCCAGTCAAGGGCACGTACCTGGGTTGCAGGTTTGATCCCTGGCCCCAGTTGGGGTGCATGGGGAGGCAGCCAATCGATTTCTCTCTCACATTGATGTTTCTCTCTCTCTCTCCCTCCCTCCCTCCCTCCCCTCCACTCTCTCTAAAAATAAATGGAAAAAGTATCCTCGAGTTGCTGTTGTTGGAAGGATAACTCTTTACTATGGAAGGGTTTAAATCAGAGTTGAAGAATAATCTGGGTTCTTTGGGAGTCCTAATGCCGACACATTAGTGTCTTCAGAACTTATAACATGGAAGAGGAGGGGAGGGAAGGCATTTCTGGAGATGGAGTGCCGAGAGTGAGGGGAAGGCACATGGTACTGGACGAGGCTGCCTTTTTCTTTGAATAGAAGATCTCTGCTCAAAGGAGGTCACCAGGGAGTTTGATGAGAGCAGTCTCAATGCAGTGGGGTGAGAAACCCCATTAGAGTAAGTTCAACAGAGAGTGAAAGGAGCTAAACTGGAGACAGCCAGTACAAGCCACGCTTTTGAGGAGTTTAGTTCAAGGTATGACCATTGGAGTGAGTGGCCAAGGTCGGGGGGGAGAGCACAAGATCGCTGCAGGAGGGGAGGTCGGGGGAGTGAGAGGCCAAGGCGTTCGAAGCATCATCCATGAGAATATTGGACTCGCCGAGAATTATCCAAAGAGCAGCGATGGAGAGACTGACAGAGTGCAGAGCTGGCATCTTCGTGGGACTTAGGGGTGTGACCGTGGGGCCACGAGAAGACTGTAGTGAGTGATGGCCTCATGACCCGAGAGTCGAAGCTGGGAGTTTTTAGGGAGGGAAACAGGAATGAAGAGAAATGAAGACACCTTGCCCGCTGCCAGGCCCAGTGGTCAGAGGGAAGCAGGAGGGTTGCAGAAAGAACAGTGTTTTCAGGGGAGAACCGGGTGTTAGAAAAAGAAAGAAAAGGAACTTACCAAGAAGGGGGTGGATGGAGGAAATTTTGTCGGTGTGACTAGCAGAGGAAGAATTTCAGAAGCTGGGGAGGAGTGGGAGACGGAGGAATAAGTGGAGATGTAAAGAACTAGTTGGGATTAGATTCAAGAGAAAGTGAGGCGACCTGGAAAGCCTGCCTCTCTTGTGCGGTCTGACCGAGCTAGAGATGAAGGCAGGACTAGGCTGACCGTCTCAAGCGGAGGGTGGCCAGACAGAGCGTCGGGGCCGGGAGGGGTGCTGACCTGCAGTGGGCACACAGGATGCTGGAGCTCCCTCTGGACCCCTGAGCTGTGGGACGTCTCATGTGCGGTACTTGGGCTCCCCCCCCCAGGCCATGTGGGTAGAGGAGAGAGGGTTGGTCTGAGCTGGGCTGGGAGGACCTGGGGCATTTCTGTGGTTAGATGGTGGGGTCTGAGGGCTGTGGGTGGGGACTCCTTTTACTTTACATCCACCTACGGACCTAACAGCAAAACTGTGGAGTTGGGAGGACTTCAGCACTCAAGTTTTATTAGGGTGTCTGTATGTACTCACATGACTTTGGTTCTGGGCCGTCTGACAGAAACCCAGCACTACAGCCTCAGGGCCGTCAAGGGCTTTTAACAGCATAACGCATGGGGAAAACCCAAGTCCTTATCTTTTATCCTTAAGATTTAAACTCCTTGTTAGAAAAGTTATGAGTTAGTGTTGTCAGAGTTCAGGGTTCAGTGAGGAATTTCAGGCAACACTACAATTTTTGCCTTGTAATTGGAGGGCAGCTCTAAGACTGTGTACACTGAAAGCCCTGAAAAGTGTTCTAGAATTGAGCTGGAATGCATAAAATTTTCCCTTTAAAAAAGTCACCTCGTCCAGTACTTGTTTCTTCTACATTTTGACAAACTTCTTGGAAATGTAGCACTGCTAATAAACTCCAAGGAGCTTTCTCAGATTACCTCCACAGGGGACCAGAACAAGATGAGAAACACAATTATTTTGATTTGAGCGCTTTCTTGAAGAGTTGAGCAATGAGACAAATGGAACAACCATTAATAAATCGTTAACGCATTTTCTTGTATTTTCCACTTAGTAGCAAATGTCAACTGGTGTTGGTTGTGGTCTTAAATAATAATATCCATCTCTCTCTCTCTCTCTTTTTAAATTCAGGTTTATTTTACATAAAATAAATTGAAGAGATCTTAAGTGTACAGTTGGATGAGTTTTGACAAATGTATACCTTCATGTAACTATCACCCAAATCAATATGTAGAACATCTCCATCCCCGCTGAAAGCTTCCTGTGCCCTCTTCAATACTCCCACCGAGAGGCAACCATTCTTCTGATTTCTATCAATTAGTTTTGCCTGTGCTTGAGTTTCATATAAAGAAAATCATACTGTTAAGCGCACTTTTATTTCTGGGTTCTTTTGCTCAACATAATGTTTTGAGACTCATCCATGCTGTAGCATGTATCAGTAGTTTGTTCCTTTTTTTAATTTATTTTTTTATTTACTGCCGAGTAGCATTTCATTCTATGAATATACCACTGTTCTTCTATTCTTCTGTTGATGGACGTTTGGGTTGCGTCCAGTTTGGGCTATTATAAATATGAAAAAAGGAGCTTTGAATATTCAGCTAAGTCTTTTTGTGGACATGTGTTTTTATTTCTCTTAGGCAAGTACCTAGGAATAGGATTGCTGAGTCCTAGGCTGGATGAATATTTGACTTTTTACTGTACTGCCTTCCTGTTTGCCAGTGTGGCTGTTCAAGTTTTCATTCCCACCAGCAATTTACGAGAGTTCCAGGTCCTCCACGTCTTCACCAAGACTTGGTGTTACTCGTCTTTTTAACTTGAGCTAGTCTAGGGAGTGTGTAGAGGTTTTTCTTTGTGACTTTAAACTTGCATTTCTTTTCTTTTCTTTTTCTTTTTTAATATATCTTTATTGATTTCAGAGAGAGGAAGGGAGAGGGGGAGAGAGAGAGACAGAAGGGAGAGACAGAGATAGAAACATCAAGGATGAGTCATTGATCAGCTGCCTCCCACACGCCCCCAACTGGGGATTGAGCCCACAGCCCAGGCATGAGCCCTGATCAGGAATTGAACCCCGATCTCCTGGACCCTAGGTCAATGCTCAACCACTGAGTCATGCCCGGCAGGGCTATTTGTATGTCTTATTTTGTGGAGTAGCTTTTCAATTCTCTTTCCCAGTATTCAGCTCTTTAATTAAGGTTTTGTTGGGAATATGGCCGTATCAGGCAGTATTTTGTTGACTGATCGTAGTCTTTGTTTTAAAAAGTGTTGCTTTTTAAAAATTGATTTTTGAGAGAGAGGGAGAGACAGAGAAGAATCAGTTGGCTGTCTCCTACGGGCCTCTACTGGGGGTGGGGTGGCGGTGGAGCTGCAGCCCAGGTATGTGACTCCGCGGTGGATACGAAACCAACCGAGCCACGCCAGCCAGGGCTGGCTGATTGTGTTCTTTAACACAGAAGCCGAATGGCCAAAATAGCTAGCTAGGTAAGAGCATTAGATTTAGATCTTTCCAAACGGTTTCAATTTCTCAGGCCAATTATAAAAGCAACCGTTTCACTACTAAAAGGCTCCATGTGCTACTTCAGTTCAGTTTCAAAATACAAAAAACCAGTACTCTGCAATCTCTGCATAAAATTAGCATTGGTTGGAAATATCTAAAAGTGGGTTTACAGGCTATATAACATGATATTTTTTATAATGGTATATTCTTGAGATATAATTATATTCAAGAAGCGACCAAATTTGTGTCATAATGGACATGTGCTAAAGGCCCATTAAATTTTTTTGCTTTACAAGTCAGCATATTAAAAAATATAAACACGAAGATGCCATTTCAGGGATAAAATGATCCTTTCCACTTCTAAGTGTTTGTGAAAAGAAAGTACATGTACCAGCATGTGGCTCCCATGACTCCTAAATTCGGACAGAATAAACCTTATAAACGATGATCTGCACTAACACTGTCCAACAGAACTTCCATGGTGGAAAGGTCCTATTCTGTGATCTCCAACATGGAAGCCACTGTGACTGCGAGCATTGAAATGTGGCTGGTACGTCTAAGGGACTGAAATCTAAATTTTATTCTAATTAATTAAATTAAAATTTAAATAGCCATACAGGGCTAGTGACTACACTATTGGATAGTACGAATCTGTACCCTTCAAGAAAGAAATGATTTTAAATGACATTTTTCTCCTTAAGGGGGCCAGCCTCCTTTCCCCCTTGTCTTATGTAGAAGGCAACAACCGGGCAAATATGAAGGTATGTGGCGTGGAGACGGAACTGAAGGCGCGGTAAGTAGGCAAGGAGTGTAAGCGATGTGAACTTGTTTCAAGGGGACACCCCTCCTCTCCCCAGAAATGCTATGGAGCACATACATCCAAATATTGCTAAATAAAATAGAAGTGGGCTTTCATAATCTACACAAGAAATGGGCCTCATAGTCATATACTGTATATGCTGCGAGTGTCATCTGTCCCTTCTACTGCCCAGAGCACTGTGTGTCTTTTAGAGAATTTATTACATTACACTTTGCAATTCTGTTGTAAATCTAACATTCCCTAACACAGCCTGCAGTCTCTGAAGACAGAAAATGTATTAGTATTCAAATTTTTCTACCATTATGGCAAAACCTCATATACAGTAGGCAAGCAATAAATAATATTTTTATTGTAGATATGTTATAAACATAATTTCTATAAAAGTAGAAAAAACAGAGCTGAAGTTAGCACAGCGGAGGCTAATTGACAATGAAGGTCTAAAAATCACCACTGTGGAGTTATATGATGATCACATTACACTGACCACACAAAGCTTGCTCTATGCTACGTATTTTTTGGATTTATAAAGTCACACCCTGGCAGTCTGGTAAGAATTCTGATTATTCTATTACACTAAAATTTTGGTACAAATAGCTTAGTTGAATTTTTTTTTACATAAGTCCCAAGAACTTTAAATAGTAGGCAGCTCTTTAGAGGCTAGGATAAAATACAAATGCCATAGAACACCTCACCTATGCTGAAATAGTTCTGAGTTTTTAACTGTGTTTTCATCTGGGCAGCTTTCCCTAACTCTCCTGCCTGCCCCATTTGTACACACACACTTCTTTGGGAACCACTGTGGGAGAGCCCATTGTCGCTGATGGGAACGTGTTTTTCAGGCGTGAGATGAGTTATGGTGGTTAAAAAAGGGGGGTGGTTAAAAACCACTCTCCTAAAAACCCATGTTGACAGTTCCTCACTGGTTGTGGGTGCTCACAAACATCATAATTCTTATAAAGAGCATCAATGCAAACAGTATACTTTCCTCAAAGAACACTCTTCAAAGCAGAGATTAGCTGTGCATAGTGATCTGTAATAATGACCAACATTTATTGAGTGCTTACTATGTCTCAGGCACTGTTCTAGGGAGTTAACATGTATTAATTCATGAAATCTTCATAGCAACTCTATCAGGTAGACAATATTGTTATTCCCATTTTAGTTGAGGAGATGGACACAGAGAAGTTAAGGGTTTTGTGTGAGACCATACAGGTAGTAAAAGATGGTGTCAAGATTCCAAGCCAGGCCGAGGGACTGTTTTAACTACGTTATAGCATAGCTGCACTCACCCAGGAAAGCTTGCTTGCAGCCAACCTAAGAATGCAGGTTCTGTTCTAATCACTGACTCAGGTTTATCGAGTGCACAGACAAGAGAAAGTAGCAGACTGGTTGTCAAGCTTACAATCGTCAAGCTTACGAAGGCTATGAAGATGAAAATTGAGGGCTGCAAAAATAACTGATTTTCTAAACCATATGGATATCACCAAAATTAAGTGCTCAAAAATGTGCCTCTATATTCCTATCTGTAAGATCCAACGAAATGTTTCTACTAAGTTAAGATGGAATACCTAAAATTAAAACGAGAGCTCAACATTTACAGTTTTTTTCTTTATATAAAATCTGGAAATCATGTTGACCAAATAATTTAAAAAAAAAAAGTAGTAGACAAGTCATTAAAGCCTCATTACCATCCTTCACAGATGCTCAGTGCTACAAGTAATCGAACATGTTTACAATGAACTTCTTACAGAATTCTTATTGAGAACAGTAAGAACACTCTAGCCCATAATTAAAACCATTATTTTTAAAGTGCCATGTCTATTAAAGGAGCTTCCAAAAATGAATAGCTCTTACCATGTACAGTGCTGGAAACTGTTCTGTCTTATATGCCTATTAATAACCCATTTAGTCTTCAGTCCTCAAAATGATATAGTTATTTATATTGTACATGAGGAAACTCAGGTATGGAGAGGTGAAATAACTTGCTCAAGGTCACACAAATAAATGGTGGTGCTAGGATTCAAGTCCAGTGTCAGACACTGAGTATCAACATGCAGAGAAGATACTTTGCCCATAAAACATATCTCATTGCACAAAACCTGGCAGAAATGGAATGGTGTAAAGATGGCAGAGGAGGAACTTCCATGCCATGTATTTCCCATATATTTTATTGTATCATTCAAATGTTCAATATAAAACAGCTTAAAACTTAAAATTATTTTCTACTTTAATTCTAATTTTCCTTATATTTAAATCAGTAATATTTTTTCTTAAATATTTTTT